TCCCTCCTGAGGAGAGGGGGAGGAAAAATTGCAGTGTAGAAATGAGTTGCTGGAGGGAGTTCCTTGGCATTCTTTTTGGTTAGTTTTTCCAACCTAAACAAACAAATGTTAAAAAAGAAAAAAAAAGAAAAAAAAAGAGAGAGAGAAAAAATAGAGAAAATGTTGCTATTTCTTTTTTTTTTTTAATTTTAAATAATCAAATCAAATCACTAATGAAATCAGGCTTGATCATGAGCCTTGTGACGATGGATGAATGACACAGAAATTCTATTCCCAATAACTCCAGGTGGGCAGTTTACAGAGAGTGCTTTAAATGAAATAGGTATTTTACTGGGGAATACTTGAATCTCGACCAGCTTTCTTGGGTCCCTCTTCCTTCCAGGGCTTTATCCCATGGGACTCCATGAAGCAAATCCAGGATAGAGAGCTTGCTGTGTGTCCTCCACCATTTCATGGTCACTTCATTTCCAGATAAAGTGGAATAGAAAATTGATGTGATAAAAGGAGAGATTGGTGAAATGAACTTTTTTTATGTGCCACGTGGAAATAAACTGTATTTCATTAAATTATTCCTCCATCTGAAGGAATAATATTTAAGCTCAATAAGATTAGGAATTTAAAAGACTTCAGGAGAGCTTCATTTCTCAGAAAGCACATTCAGGGGCATTCTGACATTTAATTCCTCAGGAAACTGTAAAGTGAAGCTACAAAATTGGCCACAGTTAACATTTGCTTAAAACGTGGACACAGTTTAGCACAGACTCAAACAGTGCAACCGGAGTCAAATGAATCATTTGCTCAGTGACTTTGCCTCTTTATTCCTGCTTACAAATGCTTTGTGAACAGCTTGCAGTTTTCTCAAACACACCCATTCTTTTCTGGGAGATAAAAGGTATTCATCAGATAAGTTTTATGAGTAATTCTCAGTCTTTCCTTGCTGGGGTCTATATTTAGATTTGTGCTGCAGTGGCCAATATTGAGGGGAGGCTTAGGTCACCCATTACTATTTCTATTCTCTGACTGAGTGCAAATACACAGAATTCTGAGCTCAGACTTCACTTCAAATGTCCTCTAATTTCTGTTAATAGACTCGTCCTCTCCAGCACTGGCCAGAAATGAATTTAAAAGGAAAGTGTACAAATATTAATTGACCTCAGCACCACTTTGAGCTGCTGTGGCAGATATTTGATGTGCTACTTTCTCAGTTCCAATTTCAAAAACATAGAACACAAAAAACTGAAGCAACATTCAATAGAGGTGGTTGGAAACTGCTCTCAACCTGAACTTTGCTTTGCCATTGTCCTCTCTAGAGAGCAAGCTTAGATGACCAGCCTAGACTGAAAACCTCTTTTTTGAGATATCCAAATCTCTGTGAAATGAGTCCTGTTTGAAGTAAAAAAATACCCCCAAAATCTCAGCATTTTGTGGAAGAAACAGCTTCTTATCAGAAAAAAAATCATTTTAGCAGACACATTTCTGTCTCTGGTATCTATTTTTGTGTCCCTGAAAACACACGCTGATCCTCTATACTTTATATGGGCTCAACTCTACAATTTTGCTTAGAAGGTTTGCTCCCATTCCTCCTCTTTCAGCATGGGCCACAATGAGAGACACAAATATCCATTTATATTCTGATGAACCCAAATCAGACCCTCAGTGCACCCTTGCCTTTCTGTGGGCCACTAAAGAGCATCACTGCTAGATCTCCCTGCTGCTGCCACCCCCTTTTACAACCAGTTTTGCTACAAATTATTAGGGGATGAATGGTGCATCATTTGAAATGAAGATATTACTGCTCAGGAGGTTTGCTGATGCTATTCAGGGCTCCACGTGGAATGCCAGATCCATTCACACCACACTGGCAATGTCAGGTGCTGTGTGTCTCCACAGGGGTCCTCTGAATCTTCCCTTCTCTTACCCACTTTCGATGCTGAACATCACAGGCTTAAGTGTTTGATTCAAAAGTCAGCAAATAACGAGCACTCAGGGTACAGTTCTCTGCATTAAAAAAGAAAACCTCCTTTGAGCTGCAAAAAACAAAATAGTCTACAATTTTACCTTGGATTCTGCACCTGAAGGGAGATTTTGGAGAAGGGCCTAGGCTATTTTTTTGTGCAAGATGGTTGTGAGCAGATATTCAAATTGCCCTTGGCTGCAGGTTCTTTTACTCAGGGCCAGATCAGGCACCTACAGTCATGGTTCAGGTGAGTGTTTGACTAACTTGCAGGATGTGTTTTTGTCTGGGCTGTGCCATGTTTTTCTACAGAACTTAAAAGTTTTGAGCCTCGCGGTTCCCTTTGTGCTGAGGCAGTGTGCTCGAAACCCCACTGGAGGGTGTTTCCAGCTCACTGCAGGGCTGTTCACCTGCACTGTGTTTGCTGTCCTGCTGTTTGTCTTTCTTTGTCTTTCTTTCCTCTTTTCTTGTAGCTTCCTTTAGTAGACCAAACCAGAGGTTTTTGCAAAAACTGTTTAAAGTGGCTGTGCTGTGGTTGTGGCAGAAAACCTGTGCAGGTGTTCCTGCAAAACAGTGGTTTTAGCTTTCTGAGCTGCCTGGCTGCTCAGTTTGGGCTTTAAGTTGTTCACTCTTTACAAGGAAGTTTCTTAACTCCCTGCTAGATAAAGATATGGAAATGTGAACAAATATCAAAGCATATCACAAAATCTCTCAGTATTCTGTAGGTTTAACTGCTCTGGACCATCTATTTTTATTGTGATTATATGCTGGAAACTTTCAGAACAGGCCATGGTTATATGTTTGAGAATTTTGTCCAAGTAATATCCTTTAGTAAAGATGGGGTGAGGTGAGTTCAGAAAAGAACAAACAGCTCTGAGATTAATGGATGGATTTAAAGGATGAGTAGGAGAACTAATGGTCGTGACTCACTGGCCAGGCCTGTTTTCCAGAGTATTTCTAAATCCAAGATGTGCAGGCTGAAGGAAGGTGATAACCAGCTCTGACCTCTGAACCACACTGCTAAATGACACACTTTAGAATCCCCACAGTGATCTCAGCAGGAGAACTGAATCCAGCTGCTGCTTCCAGGTCCTGCTGCCCAATTCAGACTCAAATCCAGAGCTTGGTCCATCCAAGCTTTTTAGAAAAGAACAGGTTATGATGAGAAATGCAATGGCACAGAATATGGTGCCACTTGTCAGCGGTGGATCAGAGCACAGGCCAAGGAGGAGAAAAGAGTTTCCTTTCCTTAAACAGAGAAACCAAGGGAGGTGCTGTTGGAGCTGGAAAGCTGTGATGGTTTGGAGGAAGGGAATTGCAGCTCACAGTCATAACCTGAAATGACCATTGCCATAGAGCTGTAACCATGGCTACCCTCTTTGAAAAGCAGTGCAGTGAGATGTATAAAGCCATCTTTATTCGTGCCAAGCTGAATGACTGTCATACCCACTTGGAGCAAAACAACCCAGCCTCTAACATAGCTTTGGGGACAGCTCTGTTCCTGTTTTGCTCAGGAAATGGAGAGGGAAGGTGAGGCCATGAAAAAAATGAAAAGACCTGCCATGATTCTAAGTTATATTTTAAGCTGATCCACATATGAGGGAAATGCTAAAAAAAAAGTGGCTAATATTAAAAAGAAATTCAGTCTGTCACTACACTAAATAAACTGCAGAGTGGACTGTGTATAAACACACATAGGCAGCATGTGACCAAAAGAATTTTTAGTTAGAGATGAGATTGCCTCATGGGCCACTCAGGAGTTCCTAGGAGAATGCAGAATTACCATTTTAAACCAACCACTTTCTGCCCATAATTAAAATACTGTAAATCAGAACCAACTTTGCTGACTGGTTTCTCTTCACATGCCTTTGGGAATAAAAGTTTATTTATTTACCAGTCTATGACAAGAAGTCCTCATGTCCTGTTCTGGGAAATAAAGTGTGCTGAGAGCTTGAGAATTCTTAAGGGAATAGTCAATATATGCCTATAGAAAGGCAGGTCTTGCAATAAGTGAGTAAACCTTTGTAAGCTTCAAATGGATGTGAACAGAACAAAAAGGTTTAGGTAGAAAGAAGGGGACTTTTAGGAGCACAATTATATATTTTGGGGTGTGTCCTTAAGGAACTGTAAGACAAACTGAACTTAACACTTTTCAGAGGTCAGATGTAAAGAGATTTATTTTTTCCCCCCACTGCTTTTGAGTCCTACATTTGTTTGCTGCAGGTTGTTTCCATGGCTTTGGCATGATTTGTATAATCAGCTGTTATGATGGGTAACCAAGGATGGAGAAAATAGTTAATAGAGCTCATTTTAATACAAAGTGGAGATTTGTGCTGCATGTCAGAGCCTGAGGTATTTGCTTTTTAATGCAGTATTGTCCACCCCGAGCTTGTCCAGATCAGCTGTTTCACTGTTTCCTCCTCTCCAAAAATCGTGATAGTGCCTTAAAAAAAGGAGGGTGAGCTCTTCACTAACAGGGCAGTGAGCTGAAGGGCTCTGTGCTTTGTGGGTGATGTTGAAGAGAAGCTGCCTCAACGTGTGGAAAAGGCTGGAGCCCCAAACCTGGCTTTACAGCCACCTCCCTACACAATGTGTCCCTTGCAGGGACAGGAGAGGACGGTGCCTTGGTCCTGTGTGCTGCATGAGAAGGGACCTACCAGGGATTGTTCTTTGCAGGCACTGCCATCTGGTTTTATAAAATGTTGCTTGGCTCTCACATTCAGTTGTCCCCAGGTCCAGCTTGCTGGGATAAATCCTGCTGGCTGTGAGGTGGCCACTCAGGCACCTTGTGCATCTCCTGGCCCTTTTAGTTTCTCAGAAGTCAGTACAGCTTCCCTCAGAAACTGTCTGGGGCCAGTCTTCAGGCAAGGTTCTTTTCTTTTTTTTTTTCTTTTCTTCCACTTTCTCTGTGGAACTGATTGAATCTGGATTATGGCAAGTGGTGGAGACCCAACCTGCACCACCAAACTGAATCCCTGTTCAGTCCTTCTCCTTTGCCAGGTACATTTTTCAGTACTCACACAAGTGATCAAAACCTCATCACCTGTTGCTCTGGGTTGCTTTATTGTGTGTGACTTTTCTTGCAATCCATGTGTTCTACACTTTGGCATAAACTGTGTGGCACAGTTCTCCTTCCAAGGAGAACCCAAAGGCTGACCAGCAGCTGCTGGTGAGGATGTCCTGGGTGAACCCAGCCCCGTTTGGTCCATCTTTTCCAAGGGGCGGATCCCTGCAGCTCCCCATGTCCAGGGGTCCCATGGGAGACAACCCTTTGCTCCTCTTCCAGCTGTGCAGAGCCACTTATGGGAACTACTTGACTCTTTTCATGATTTGAGGCACTGGTGACCAGAGGAAAAGGAGTCCTTCCAACCACATGTGTAATTATTCACTGTGCTGAAAGAAAAGTGAGTAAATTCTCTGCAATGCATTAACCTTTGTCCTAATAATGGGTATCACTTGATTTGTCACTAATTCCTGGAAAACAGTGCTGCTACATCACAAAATCAATTTACATCTCTTGTTTTCACAATTGAGTGTCTTTTCCTTGTATTATGCCCCACTTACTTTCTCTAGTAGATACATTGTCAGTTTTTATATTTTCTCAGCAGTTAAGAGTGAAAAAACTGAAGATCTTTCTTCAGAGAAGTTATGCTAGAACTCCTCTTGTGATCCATGCTGTGCTGTCTTATGCCTGACATGTACCATGAGTAATTGAGGAAATTCTTCTGCACCAATGACAGTAAATATTGGTGTCTGTCCTCTTCCACAGAAAATGATTTCTGTGCTTGTTTCTGAAACCGAAATGACTCTTGTTTCTTTGAAAGGAATTATCTTAAATTGCTGATATAGCTCCACCACTGCTGTTGTCAGAATCACATTCAAGGACAGGATGTGTTTGGGTTTCTTTTAACAATTTAATAATACAGAGTTGTTTGGCTTCGACCTGCAATAAAAATTGTGCGAACTGTTCTGCAGCACATTTGATCCCAAATAAGGTGGCTCAGGGAAGCTAAACAGTCTGCAGCAAATTAAGTTCATTTGCAGCCACTTGTAATCCTTCTCCCAGTCGTTCCCATTTACTTTGACTCACAGGTACTGTGGTGGAGGATATTGTGTGGGCTCAGAGCAACAAGTCTCCATCCCAGCTCTCCACTGCACTGCCTGAGGGAATCCTTTCCTCGGGGTCAGAGTCTTTATTTTTGTCCCAGACCCACAGCTGAGACCTGCCTCGAGCACAGGGGGACACTGGAGATGCTGCTGCAGTGGGGGCTGCTGCTGCAGTGGAGCCTGGGATGGGCCTCCATCCCTCATTTTCCAGACGCTCCATTACAGCATCTCCAAAGGATGGTGATGCAGCAGTTCCCTCTCTCTGATGGCAGGAACATCTCCTCTCACAGAGGGGAGAATAAGCAGACAAAGTGCTTGGAAACAACATTCCAGAATTCTTGCTGTGACCACTAAGGCAGAGAAGAAGAACATGGAGCAAGCACAACATTTGGAAACAGCAAAAGACCGAGTTTCCAACAGCCTCTCCAGGTGACTGAGTGTTGTCAGGCTGGAAGGGGTCTCTGAAGCTTGTCTTCTGTATCCTGCTGTTCAAAGCAGGACTGGCTTGCTCTGGGACATGAAGCCTCCATGTATCTTGGTTTCTACTGCTGCCTATTGCTTGGAGTACATCCAGCCTGGTGGAAAACTTTGGCTGTGGATATTGAAGATGACTTGCATTTTTTGCTTTCATAAATTCTTCTGTGACTCAAATTCTTTGAGGAAATGGTTCTTATGGACAGGTGTTTTAAAATGGCAAAGTTAAGGCATCTGCTCCTGTTGTGGCTGTTGTTGGTCTGAAGTGTCTATGCTGTACCTTTGTATTTCACATTTCACTTACCGTGGTCAGTAAAAATAGATGATCGTTATATTTTGGTTCAACTTCTTCCTGTTCTTATCTATGTTCTCCATCAGACTCCCTCAGTGGCTCCCTGAAAAGTCTAAGGCCACAAGCTCTTCCTCCCTGCCTCCATGGGATGGCTCATGGTTTTAGTGCTGTCACCAAAAGTCTGGGTTTTGTTATTGAAATCTGCTGTGCTGCAATGCTTCTTCAAAAGGGACTTTAGCTGCAGTCTCTGGCCAAACCTTAAATACTTACGGGCTGCGTAAAGGGGGGTGCTCTGCATGACAGCTCATCTCTTAAAGACTAAAGACCTGAAAATTCCCAGCAGGCAGGATTTTGGTCTGCTGAGGGCTGGGTGTTGGGATGAGAGGGCAGTGAGGGGTGTCTCCAGCTCTGTGTTGAGGTGCCTGTCTGGGCACAGCCCTGCACTACCCATGCTGTGCTGAGAACGAAGCGTGTGTTCTTCAGACATAGTGTGAGCCTCAGCTTATCCCTAATGGAGCTGCAGCGACACAGGGAACTCTGCACTGCACAAGGTGGAAAGTCAAGTCTCTAAGAAGGAGGCAGCTCAGCTCCTGGTGTGGAGAGTAACACAGGGACAACACGGGTGCCCTGCCCAGCCCTGCACGTGCTGGAAGTGCCGAGGGAGGGTTTCCCCACTGACTGCATGGGTTGGTATCTCCAAAGCCTGTATGAAGTCTTTAGTGCTCCACAGCAGGGCTGGTCCTAAGGAAAACACCCCAAGCTAAAGCAGTCAGAGTGGAGGGAGCAGAGCGGGAGCAGCTCCTCGGAGTTGAGCACCGCATCCTCTAAATGTTACGGGAACGTTGCAGGGAGATGCTCAACACACTCAAAAGGTCACCACTGCCCAGGCTTTCAGTAAAACAAAGGCCAACTATTTTTAACTTAATTTCAAGTGGGAAGCCTAAAGCCATAAGCTGGCCTGATTGCAGGAGGCCTTGGCTTCTCTGCTAATCAGAGCTCAATGTATAACGAGTGCCTGTGTCTGACTATGCTGCATCCAAAACCTGCTCTGATCCCGCCTAGTGCCTGACACCCACAGATGGGGCCCAGCCTCGTGAAGTCCTGCAAGCACTGCACTAAAAATTCATTCCTCTTGGAGAGTTACTGTAAGAGACAGCCAGTTCATGAACCAAAGTTGAGGGTTAACAGAGACATAACAGACACTTTGCATTATTTAGAAGTGGCCCCATCTGCAGCTGTTCACTACAAGAGAGTGAAAAAGCAGGAGGGATTGCCAGGCACATGGGACAGACACCATAAGATCCATAGCAAAGGGATCTTGTATTCTGTTTGGAGAATCCAGGGCTCCTTAGGTGTGTCCTCTACAGGACACAAAGCTTTGACTCCAAGGCTACTTTCAAAAATTAATACATATATTTTCTTTTGAAGACAGATCTGCAGAGATCCTGTTAATGTACCTACCAGCAGGAGTATAAGCACTGACAGGAGAAGGTCTGCATCTGTTTTGTATGGCTTTCTTCACCCTGGTGATAGAGCCAAGAGAAGCCAGGTTCTGGTCCCCAGTCACTTCCTAAAGTGCTGCTGTTGTAGGTCTCTGCTCATACTTGTTTCTAATATCAAACAAAAGTTACTGAGACTTCTTGGTGAACTTTATGAACCCAGCAGGATCTGAACATCATCTTGGATGGGTAAGCTGGGCCAGAGTTGCACTGCACTTCCTGACAGTTCAGCTTGTCTTTCTGGTATGACAAAGCTGTGTCAAGACGACGACAAAAAAGCAAGTTTGGGCCAGCCTTATTCCTCTTGAAACAGTATTTGCAGCAGGGCCTTTCTCAAATTTACAGCATACTTTTCTGGTTTCTGACCTGTCTGGGAGGGCAGGCCCTGTGCCCAGCGAGGCACATTTTCCACTGCAGCGACAGGCAGGAGTGCACAGCTGGTTTTCCATGTGTTGGGAAACGGGATCACTCTCTGATTGTGGCACTCAGGGGGACCTGGGCAATGGGAAGAGCTTGTTTCTTAAGAATAAGCTTGAAAAGCTTTTAAGCAGAGGACCCGTTTGTTTCCTTGGTGGTGGCCATGGGCTGGGGACAGAGCAGGGCTCTGGTCCTGGAGCACCACCCTTGTCTTGGAGCACGTCTCTGGTCCTGGAGCTGGTCCTGGAGCACAGCTCTGGTCCTGGAGCACAGCTCTGGTCCTGGAGCTGGGCTTTGATCCTGAGGCTGGTCCTGAAGTACGGCTCTGATCCTAGAGCTGATTCTGGAGCACAGCTCTGATCCTGGAGCTGGTCCCTTGGATTGACAGTTTGCAAACGAAGCTGTGCCTTGGTGCTGCCAAGCGCACCATGAGGACACTGCCTGCACAGTGATGTAGATGAGGCTGGGAAGGTTTTGTAGCCAGATGTATAAATGCAGTGCAGCCCAGGCCTGCTCTTGGCTGTGTCTCCAGCAGCTCTGAGGGAGCAGTGACCAGCCTGACAGCCCCTCTGCAGCGTGGCGGTGTCACAGCAAACGGTGCCAGTTCCCCAAACAGTTTGATCCTATGGCTCCCATTCCTCAGCTGCTGATCAAACACCTGCTCTTGCTTGTGCAGGTGATCCCACAGCTCAGTGCTCGAGTCACCCTGGTATTTCAAGGGGAAGCTCTGCTGTTGCCATGGTGGCTCTTTCCAAGGAGGTTTTTCCTGCCCTGAGCACGGGCAGGGATCATGCAAGGCTGCTGCTGTTTCTGGAGGCTTTGGTACCATCAGCCTGTTCCCTTTTGCAAGCAGCACAGAATGGTTTTCTACAGCACTGTGAGAGTTTGGAGCTGTGCTCAGTGTAAATCCCAGCTGTTGTTGTTCATCCCTTTGGATCTGATGAGTGTTCCAGACCTGAACATCTCCAGTGTAGTTCTCTCTTTAGTGCTCTGCACTGCCTCGTGCTTTTGAGGAAACCAGCATGTCCCCAGGATGTTAAAGTGCACTGAGAGCATGGATACACATGCTCATCTTATTTGTAGGACTTCTCTGTGCCCCAGCTATCCCAAGTGGTGTGGAGGTCAATGAGTTTGGAGATCCCAAACTGCATCACAATTGAGGCATTGCCCTCATTTTTCTATTGAGAGACAGAGATGTTGTGGGGTTTGTTAAGGTCATTACAGAGCTCTCAGCATGGGAGGTTCCTGCTCTTAGTCTTCCAGAACTGAGACCTACCTGTGGCTCTCCCCTTGTGTGGAGCCTGTCCTGCATTTCCCCCGTCCATCAGAAAGCACCACACTTGGTGTTTGTGCCCAACAGCCTCTCTCTGCTCTTTGGGAGAAGGACAACAGCCTCACAAACCAAATCCAGGCTGCATTTCCATCGTGTCCTGCAGTGCCCCCTCGCTGAGCACTTCCCAGGGTTGGCCATGACGATTAGTAACAATTAAGAGCAGCGCAGAGCAGCAGGGCAGAGATGCCTGTCTCACTTAGTTTCAAAGCTCTCACAGATTGCACGCCCCAGATCACAGGAGAGAGTTGATGCCACGGGTAAGGAGCACTGGTTACAACAGCCCTGGCTGCTCCCCAGAGAGCTGAAGGACTAATTAGGGCCACAGAGAGTCAGCTAATTCAGACCTTAATGAGCCCTGAGGGACTGTGAGATAACAAAAGCTCAGATGAGCACAGCTCTGGAGCAGTGCTGGGTTAGTAACAGGAGCCCTGACAAAAGATGGGCATCCTCCATGCCACTGGGAGGAAACTGGAGAAAAAGACTCTATGGAATCTGGAGGCAGATCCTCCCTTCTCTGATGGCAGACTTCACCCCAAAAAACCCAAGATTTGAGTTGTCTGTTGTGAAAGCTGCAAAACGGGCTCGTTAGTTCTTGGGTTGCAAAGAGAAACTAAATCTGCCCAAAGGCGAGACCAAAGTCTTCCTCTTGTTTTGAGGACTTGGATTGGATCTTAAATTTCTTCTCTAGGCAGTTATTTTTGGGTTTATTTTGGAAAAAAACTCCATAAAGACACCATGGTACTTTTCCTCTCCTTCATTTTCTTGGGAAGCACCTTTTGTAGGGGCCCAGTGAGGATCTTTGTGTGTGCATGAGCAGGGCTGTGATCTGCCCTTGTCCCACCTGTGTGGAAACAGGGCTAACACCTCATGGGACATTTCTGTGCCCCTCAGGTATAAAACAGATGCAACGCAAAAAAAACCCAAAAAAAACTCCCAGCTGACCTTGCACCCTCCCCCCAGGGAGTCCCCCGTGCCTTTAATCTCTGCAGTTACTGGTACCTGGAGCCTTTGTGGTTTGTGTTGTTCTGCGGTGACTTTTGTGGAGAGGTGGATTGGTAAAAGCAGCTTCCAGAACAGGTTCTTCAAAATTCTCTGACAAGTATGAAAATATTTCATCTCTAGGGTCCGTGGCGTGACTTGGGGTATAGTGTGTGCCACTCCTCGTTATTTCGGGTGGGGTTTTCTCACCTCCTCCACTCTGTTTTTCCATGGCTGCTCCTGCTGCTCCTGCTGTACCTCTGTGTGTGTGTGAAGGCATTTCTACCCCAGCCTTCCCA